GTGCTGAATCATTAGTTTACCCACAAATGAAACTATCCTCACTATTTACTGTACTTATACATACAAGTGGTACTAAACTGTTATACATTTCTTTATTCTGTTGAACAGAAAAACAATATATTCTGAAGACGGCCATTGACATCAATAGTAGGAAATAACATTTTATGGAACTCAAGGCTGCTTTTCTTCCTTTGTGTTCAACAGAAGAAAGAAACTCAAGCAGGTTTGGAACGAGTGAAGGATGAGTAAATGTTGACAGAATTTTCATATTGGGGTGAACTATGTCTTTATTTTACAGCTATTTCCTGTTATTTCATCACTGTTCTGTGTACATTTTAAAGGGTTTTTGACCTGCAATCAATGGAGAGTGGAAACAGGAATGTGTGGAGAGCAGATTGTTGAGCATTCAGGAGACATGCCAATGCTGCTCTGAGGATATCAATTAATCAGATCATTTTGATACTGATTTACTACATTATATTTGTCAGTTAGGATTAAGTATCCTTGTTTTAATTTATTTTTTGTTTGTTTGTTAAAAATATATACAGACAAAACCACATGATTGAATACTCTACACAACTTTCATCTTCCTCTTTCTTTGATAAACATATTTGATACTGCATTTAATTTCTCAGCAATGGAGAATTAACTGAACTCACAGCTTCACTGTTTGTAACATTAGCCAGATTTCCATCCCAACGTTAAGCAAATGTTTTAAAAGTTCACCACAAACAAATCTCAAAAATAATTTAGGTGCATTTCCATCAAGCTGTGAGAGTGGTGGTCTCTGGTTTTGGTAACCAACATTAAGCAAGTGGTCACGTGGGTGTAATGTTCGCTATACCTCAAATTCAGCAAATGCATTCCAATCTCTCATTATTCACAATCAGGTCACCAACCCTTTTTCACACCAAAATGTCAGTAACCAGCACCGACAAGCGTTAAAATCTTTTTTGCTAATTAAGAATTATTCAAAAATTGTCATTTCCATCATTTATTTTACATGCTATACTCCAAATGTGCATTAAAGCAGGATGTTGGAAACCCAAGTGAGGCACAGACAGAAGTTATTACTTAATATCTCTTTCTCTCTCTCTCTTTCTTTCTCTCTCTATGTTTCTTGATAATCAAATCTAATTAATTGTCTTGATATATGTACTAAAATGTACATATGATTTGCAATGATTTGCATATGTTTATTAAACCTTCGAATCGCTGCATTTAAATCTGTGTTTGAAAAATGTGTTTTGAGTTAGTTATAAAGTTACAAACAGTCAAAAAACACAAAGTACGGGGATAACAATTTATCATTTTAATAAAACCACTGATGTTTATGGTAAAGATTGAAATTACCATCATATGCATTTAACGATGCTTAAAAATGAAAGTTGTAGGGCGCAAGTACATTCTTTAACCAATAGGTGGCGATAACCACCCATCAGAAATATGCAACTGAATAATTTTAAAAAGACACGATCATTCATTCATTTTCTTTTCGGCTTAGTCCCTTTATTAGTCAGTGGTCCCCACAGCGGAATGGACCACCAACTAAACAGCATATGTTTTACACAGTGGATGCCCTTTCACTGAGAAACACCCATACACACTCATTCACACACATACACTATGGCCAAGTTAGCTTTTTCAATTCACCTATAGCGCATGTGTATGAACTGTGAGGGAGCACCCGGAGGAAACCCACGACAACATGAGGAGAACATGCAAACTCCACACAGAAATGACAACTGACCCAGCCTGGGCTCAAACCAGCGACCTTCTTGCTGTGAGGCGATCGTGCTACCCACTGTGCCACTGTGATGCCGGTGGATGAAAAACTATTCATCTAGCAATGAAACATGAAGTTTTATGAGTGAATAACTGAATCATTTATTGAAAATTAGACTAAAAATAACTAAGATTAGATTAGCATTATCAGCAACAGTAGCAGTAACAGTGAATTTTTCACAGAAATGAATATCTTACCATTTATTTTTATGCAATAGATTGTTATTCAATTTTATTTTTAATAAAATGATAGGTTCTAAGTTCTGTTCGTTGAAACCAAAAGTTTGTTGCAGTTTTGCGTTTGTAAATGAATGGAAAGCAAACTACATTTATCTCTGAAATATGATTTGATCCATGAATAAAACAAACATAATGTGATTCAAACTGAGATTTGTATTACACTATTAATGCTTATTCAAGCCAACTGCACTGCTTTATCATTAAACCAAATAGAATCACACCACGTATTAAAATACTTAAAAAATATATCTTTATACAGGACACTCACTGGCCACTTTATAAGGTACACCTTACTAGTACCGGGTTGGACCGCCTATTGCCTTCAGAACTGCCTTAATCCTTCAAGGTACCGGAAATATTACTCAGAGATTTTGCTCCATATTGACATGACGGCATCACGCAGTTGCTGCAGATTTGTCAGCTGCACATCCATGATGCAAATCTCCCGTTCCACCACATCCTGAACGTGCTCTATTGGATTGAGAACTGGTGACTGTGGAGGCCATTTGACTGTAGTGAACTCATTGTCATGTTCAAGAAACCAGTCTGAGATGATTGGCACAGGATGACATGACGCCTTTTCCTGCTGGAAGAAGCCATCGGAAGATGGGTACACTGTGGTCATAAAGGGATGGACATGCTCAGCAACAATACCCAGGTAGGCTGTAGCGTAGACAATGCTCAATCGTTAGTTACTTCAGTTGTAACGAGTACTTTTTTAAGTTACTTTTGCCTTTTTATACGCTGGAATGCGTCTGGCCAACAGAACTGCTGCTCCCTGATATTTTCTCTGACCATTCTCTGTAAACCCTAGAGATAGTTGTGCATGAAAATCCCAGTAGGTCAGCAGTTTCTGAAATACTCAGCCTGTCTGGCACCAACAAATGCCACGTTCAAAGTCACTTAAATCACCCTGCTTCCTCATTCTGATTCTCAGTTTGAACTGCAGCAAATCATCTTGACTGTGTCTACATGTCTAAATGCATTGAGTTGCTGCCATGTGATTGGCTGATTAGAAATATGCGTTAACGAGCAGTTGGATAGTGTACCTAATAAAGTGGCCGGTGAGTGTATATTTTTCACTTTTATGCTGAACGTGTACTCAAATCAAAAAATTGCTAGTCATCACACTGCCCACCTGCCAAGAGTGACATCTCCATCACTGTACACGTGACAAAGTGAACCCTAAAGGTCACAAGGTCAGACTTTAAAAAAAATCATGCCATATTCATTACCATGCATTTAAGGTGCCCTAACACCAATACTGGCAGCATGCAATTTAATACGGTCATTCTAGGTTTACATTTCACAGCATCATCAAATTAAATATACTCGAGCCAAACTGCTGTCTAAAATAAATAAAGGAACTTTCGGCTAAACACAACAGGACAAACGGCGAGCGGAGCTGCATCATTATGAAGACTTATGATATGCATCCATAAAGCGGAGCTCCGCTCACACGTACACCGACCACATACCGCTGCGCTTAGGAATAACGGAGATGCATGCGCAGATTCAGTGCGTTCTGCCAGCGACTCGCCACGGGGATGGTGCTTAACAATAGGTGTCATACACTGGCCTGATGGCTGAAATGGACACAAAAGCTTGGGTAAGTGAAGATAACGATGAGAAAAGACGTGCGTCACTGTCTATCCTTTTGGGACCCAGCCAAAAAAAAAAAAAATAATAATAAAACAATAATCATAATCAATATAGTGTTTGAAGTTAACAAACATACATGTTTATAGGATGCTTTTAAAATAAGATTTAACACAAAATACTTTTAAAAACCAATAGGAGTGTAAAAGATAAAGTATAAACTGAATTAATAGACATTTTATATTCAGATGAAGTCAGAATTACTGAATTATTAGCCCCCCCCCCCTGTTTATTTTCCCCCCAATTTCTTTTTAACGAATAGAAGATTTTTTCAGCACATTTCTAAACATAAGAGTTTTAATAACCCATTTCTAATAACTGATTTCTTTTATCTTTGCCATGATGACAGTAAATAATATTAGACTAGATATTTTTCGAGACACTTCTATACAGCTTAAAGTGACATTAAAATGCTTAACTAATTAAGTTAACTAGACAGGTTAAGGGTAATTAGGCAACTTATTGTATAATGATGGTTTGTTCTGTAGACTATTAAAAAATCTATAGCTTAAAGGGGCTAATAATATTGACCTTAAAATTGTGTTTAAAAAATAAAAAACTGCTTTTATTCTAGCCGAAATAAAATAAATAAGACTTTCTCCAGAAGAAAAAAATACTATCAGACTTACTATGAAAATTTCCTTGCTCTGTTAAACAGCATTTAAGAAATATTTTAAAAATAAATAAGAGGGTTAATAATTCTGACTTCAACTGTTTATATATATATATATATATATATATATATATATATATATATATATATATATATATATATATATCACATTAATAACATAAATTATGCCCAAACTGATAGTTAACACAAATAATGTAATATTAATTTAAGTAAAATAACTTTAATTAAACATATTTTATCATTAGAATTATTAGCATATTAATATTGACCATAGGCCACACCCCCATGATGTGCACTTTAACACTCTTAGTTCACTTGCATGTGCCTTCAGACAACAATAAACACAAAAACACCTCCGTAGTAGTGATCACTAATAAATTGGTGGGTTTTATCACAGTTTTACAGCCACATCTTTAAAAGCAGCACCTTTCCCCATCCTGCCAGACGTCAATGACCGGCAGGTTATTTCAACACATAAAAATGCTGTGCATTAACTCAGCTCTATAACGTGCATTTTACAAGCAATCTCCCATAATAAAAGATGCTTATCAAGTGCGCGCAAGACTAGATTAGAAGTTATTCAATTTTAAACTGGGTGATTAAGAAAAAATAACAGCAGCTAACAAGTACTAAGTTTTCAAATAACATTTAAAATATGAATATAATAACGAAACGCTCTTACCTGTGTCCTGGCACATTGCGTGGGTATTCTGGTAAGTGTGACGAACTGAAACATTCCCAGAATAACCCTCAGCTTGATCCCCATTGTTTAAGTTGGCCAAGAAAAGTCTGAAATAGTTATGTAAATAATACACCAGGTCCAACGTCCAGTCCTTGTTAATTCTCTACGAATGATTATTCCACATTCGCGTCCGAGCCCAACATCTTTAATCCAAACAGGGACAATTTACTCAGCAGATTCTCAAAAAACAAAGCGATTGTAATTCCCGTCATGGCTTAAGTAAAGCCAAAACACAAAAAATAAATTTCAGAAATGTTAAAGCTCCTTCGGAATAAAACCGGGCGCATTTATTTCTAATAATTAGCTATCATATATTAATAAATCCTTAATAAATGAAATTTTAGAGGAGTTTTCCGCGCATTGCATTTATACTGGCTCCCTCGTAGCAGAATTCCCGGTGGAAATAAGAGTACGTCCTTATGCTCCAGAGAGATGTATATCCGGTAACAAATAAATATATCCTCAAGAATCGATGTCCCGAGCGTCCTGAAGGTCTCTGCCTCTCCCGTCTGGCATTTCAGACCCGCTTTGTACGGCGCATCCCGTGCTACTGTAGGTCACCAGTGAAATCATGCCCACCAAAACCTATGATGACGCTTATGCTTGTCAGACACAAGATCTTATTCATTAACATGTTCGCCATACATAACCCATTCTGCCAACATGCGCTGTGGAATCCACTATGTGGAAACAGGGATGAGGGAAATCCACCTTGATATGATTAAGGTCGTTTTCTCCGGTCTCTTATTTGCCCTTCAGGACTCACGCTCCGCAACTCTCAGTGCGCGTCACCGTCGCGCTCGTGGAACTTTTTTTTCTCCTCCTGACGCGCAGACTTTGCTCGCGCGCAAACCCGCACAGGTGTAATGATCGCGCATAGTGAGGTGGGCAATTATTAACCGACTCCCCCTCACTATTTTGATTCCCTTTCCCCCTGACAGAGTGTTTTGGGTTCCTATTTAAAGGAGACGTGCACTTTTCAAGGATTTTGTCCGTTTCAAATATTAAAGATGAAAATCATAAATCGGATCTACTTTCGGTCCTGGATGCGGATTGGTTAGTATCGGCGAAATACAAATAAAAGCGAAACTGCTGTATTATATTATCATTACCAATCATATACACCTGGGTAGTTCTTACCTACTGTATTTAGTAATATTTAATAATATATTTACATTTAATAAAACAAGTTACCACATGAAGCATCTTAAAGTTACAAAACATATTTACAGCGTAGTAACGGTTACAACGCGAAATACCTGTTCACGTAGCTACTGTACATATCACTGCGCATCACCCATAGAGACCAACTGTCAACCAAGGACTATATTTTCCTGCGGAAGGATGGACTTAAAGAGACAGTTCGCCCAAAAGGTGGAGATTCTGCCTTAGTGTATTCACGTTGTGATTTAAAAATTCACACTCTTTATTACAAATATTAATAATAAAAATAATTAGCTATTTTTATGATATAAATACACGTAAACGGGCTGTCATGTTTCAAAACGGATTAAAATCTATATATTTCAATCTATTAAAACATATTTAACAAATGATTTTTTTAACCATGAGTCACAATAAACTTCTTTCAATGATTTCTTTGAATAACTTACACTTGACGTATTCAGAATCTGCTTACTTTCCATTTCTCTGCAAATAAATGAAAATAAAAAATTTAAATCTGTGGATTTATCTGGAATGAGAGTTTAGTAAATAAAAACTTAACATGTTAAAACAAAAACTAATCACTTTTTACTTCAAGAATTCATTGCCAATTTCAATTCCAATTAGAACCACTAAAAGCAGTTAAGTCTTTCATATCTAAAAGACAGAAAATATTACTTTATAAACTGAATTGTACATAAACCACCTAAACATGTGCATTAATATTGCTCAAATTATTATGTAAAAACTGAATCAATGATCAGCTTAAAATCTACTTTTTTGAGTTCTGTGGGCACAGATTCCAATGGGGTATATGCACACAAACTTTTAATTTCAGTCAGCCAGTCACAAGTCATCCGGTAAATTCTCATCCCATACAAAATTGAACATTTAAGATTTGATTTCTTAAAAAAAAAACATATTCACTGCCTGGCTGAGATATGATATAAAGTGGGTATCAGACCAAACAAAAAGCATTGCATTAAATGATATTTTTCCGAGCCATGTCTTTACAATATGGATATTATTTTTAACCCAGTATTTTTAATGAAATTTCTGCGCTGGACTGCTCCTAATGACGCCGCCTTTTTAAAAGGTTTTTCGTCTCTTTTTACTCTTTAACAAACAAATGTATGCTTAAGTGTATTTAATGATTATATTTGAATTACATAACAACATCTGTGCTGTAAAAGGAATCTTATGAAATTGAAAATAGTCAAATAAAATTATGGCTGAATTCGTCATTGGCTGAAAAACACTCGATGTGCATATAGCCCATTGGGCCTATTATTCAGCCTTTACTATCATTATTGTTAAGCATTGTAATGTTTTAATTCACATTCTTTTTAAACTAGTAGTTTCGATATTTAAACATCTGTCTAAATCAATTGGTGGTCAGGTGGTACAATGTTAAAATTTGTAACTCTCATAAAATTAAAAATTTTCAAGTTCACTGTATTCTATTTGGAAGGGCTCATCCCTATGCCCTAATCTCTTCAAGGGGTAGATATGGATTTGTTGTTTGAAGTGACTTCTTATAAGAGACTAGGGCATAGGGATGAGCATGCGACCCCAAACAACTTCCCTACAGAAAGCATTTTTTGTGTGATTTTTTTGCGATAAAAATGACAGATTTTTTTGTGGTAATTCCTAGAAATTTGTACTTAAAGGGTCCATATTGGTATCTCAAAATTATATATTAGTACCTAAAATTTTTAAGAGCAATATTTTTGTACATTTTAGGAACTAATATGTACCCTTGAGGTATTAATATGGACCTTTAAGGTACAAATTTGTACCTTCTGAAAAGGTACCACCCCAGTGACAGTTCGCGTACCTTTATTTCTGAGAGTGTGTTAGGTGTGCAATCTGACACAATGACAATGACATAAATCATAAAAATAAAGCTTCTTTATTTTGGTCTCTTGTTAAGACAAAATGTTAAAAAGATCTAAAATGGTGGGGATTAAGCCAAAGAAAGGATGGATAACTCCTATCTTTATCCATGATCTTCCTTTCTCTCAGATTTCACTTCCCGGAGCATCTAACATCATGTACCTCACTTAGGACATGCGTTTGGGCTTCCCTTACCCTAATACACCTAAAACGCGGATTGCCGTAAAACTCATCAATAGCAGGAAAGCGTTTAACTGCAGGAAAAGAGTTAAACGAAAACATGTATCGAATTTATCACACCATAATACCAGCTGTATATGTAACGCACAAATGAATGTCCTTTGATTCGGTCATGGCCAGCGGCCATCATCTTTGAACCAATCCACATTGTTAACTGCTTGCTTTTCTGTCTGTTCCATTGCTCCGTTTGTTAGATTTTTGCTCCAACTTTCTTTTCCAATCTGAAGCGCGTCAAACGCATAAAATGCCCAATTCACGCCACAGGATGTCTAATCCAATCTTTGCATTGACTTCACATGTAAATCCCTCGCGCTTCATCTGCGTCTGCTTACTGCACAGGCTGCAAAACATTTCCCCCTCTTTCATGTAATGTTATGTCTAGTTCAGACTGCGTGATTTTAGCCCCGATTTTGGCTCGCCGACAGGTTTTGAGAAATCGCCGACAAATGCCTGAAATCACAGGCAAATCGCTGCTCGTGCACGTGAGTGACAATCACACAGTATGAACGATCAGAGACGCGATCTGAGAGAATCGCCGATGCCTTTGAGATATTTGGCGTGCTAAACATCTGGAGCTGTCGGCGATTCAAATCATGCCGTGTGAATTGAGTTTTGACTGAAAATAACATCAGCGATCGCCTACAGCCAATAAGAGAGCAGCTTTCACTTTTGTGTGCGTGTGTGTATACCTGCTGCAGGCCAGCAGGAGGCTGGGGAGAAGTTAAAAGCGCTCATTTTCGGTTTATTTGGACCCACGAAATGGAGGAAAAACTAGTGGAGGTTTGACAGGACTCAGGAGCAACCATGTCTGTTTGACATTTCATACAGAAAGAAATTAGTTTATTATCAACGTTACGGAGAAATGGCTAATTCCCTTTAAACCCAGGTGAGCAAACATGTACATGTTCAACCCCATTAAAGGCTTCTTTCTCATTATGTAGTTAATAACAAAAGATATACTACATGTTTTTGGCTGTGAGACGTAGTTTGGACGAAGTTGTCAGCGATTCTCCCTATAGTAAAGTCATGCAATGTGAATGTCCATGTCGCCGAACCATCTTGCAGTGTAAACAAAGCAGCGACGAAACGCCAGCCCAGATAGTCATGCAGTGTGAAAACATCAGTGACACGACTAGTTAGAAAATCATGCAGTCTGAACTCGGCATTAGGATTGTGAGGGCGCAGGTGAGACGTCCTTTTTCGAGAGACACTCAAATACATCAGATGCGCTGCGTATGCAACCTCAATAAGTCATGTAAAAAAATACATTTCAAACAGAAATGAATACAATTTGATTATATGATTTGGAATTGGGTGTTTTATGAGATTATTTTCATTTTTTTGTGATTATTTTGCCATTGAATTAAGAATTTTGCAGGATCTTTTTGTTGATTTTGTGTTGAATTCAGCGATCGTGGAATTGACGCTTCAATATGGCGTCCATGATTGTTTTCATTCAGCAATCGCGGAATTGACGCTTCAATATGGCGTCCATGATTGTTTTCATTCCACAGTACCGGTGCATATATCCAATTTGATTGTTTCACACGACATACTGTATGCTTGCCACAGCCATTTAGCGTTAACACGACGAATGTGGCGCAGATCCTATACTACAGAAAACAATGCCGATATTTTCAACATAACACAGCCTCATTAGTCACTAGATACTAAGGGTGTCACGATCCTCCAAATCCTCGATTCGATAACATTTTCGTATCTAAAGGCACGATTCGATTCAATTTTCGATTATAATTAATTAATGACAAATGAATTATTTGTAGCCTACCGTTTAAACTACCTGACCTGTATGGTCTTTGTTTTACCCATAAACAAATCATACAGTAAATGAATAAATGCAAGATACACACATAATTACTACCTGTCAATCACTTTTTCTGCGGGACTCGTGAATAGGCAGTGATCTGTGTCGTTCTAATGGCGTCGTTAAAAAAGAGGCACAACCAACAGGAACCAGCCAACAGTATCTGAGGTGTTCGCTAAAATGACTAAGTACAAGTGAGTGAAAGATTTAAGCAGTCCTCTGACTGCCTGGACCTGCTCTCTCGAGCGCATGTCTGTGTGGTCACGTGATGTGCATTTTCAGAGGTAGAGAGGAAGGAGGGCTGCTCAGAAATGCTACACGCCACTGTGGATGTCAAATCGTTGTCGTTCTAAAATGCCTTTTAAAAACAAAGACAGTGTAAACAGGGCCTGAGTGTGTACTTTTCGCGAGCGGATTTGCAACGTGGGCAGGCGGAGGATCGCGATGCCGGTGTTGTCTATCGGACGAACCGTACATAATACGTACATAGCAGAGCTTGCAAAACTGTGTTTTTTTCGTCGACAACATGAACGTTGTCAACATAACTCACTGGAAATCCAAAATGCTTACACACCTGTGACTTCATTAAAAGAGGAGAGGGTTTAAGTTCTGTCGACGGGTCTCCTGCTTCTGCAGTTTAACAAGCACTTCAACAAGCCTGTTTTTTTCCCGCTTGGCAAGCCAAGCTGACGTGACATTGGGGCGTGGCAGCATCAACGATTCTATTTTTTGATTCGATAATCGAAATTGAGCATAAATTTTGATCGATTTCAATTAAAAATCGAAATCGTGACACCCCTACTAGATACTAAATCTTTGAAAGTATATTCAAAACTGTAGTTTAATTTTGATTAGTTGATTCAACTAATCTAGCAACTGAACCCATCCCACTTTGCTTGCATGTGAAGACCCTCAACATCATCCACAGGTATGTTTGGGTTATCCTGAGCCAAAAAAAAAAAAAAAGATTATGTGGGCTGCAGGAATGCGGGCTGTTTTATCTCTCCGAGACTGCTAACAGCATTAAAGCTGACAACCGCAAAGAGTCCTTTCAGAATATAACCATCTGAAGAGCTTCTGGAAATCCCAGAATGGTAGGAGAGAAGGTCCAGTCATCGCATATCCAAATAAACAAACTAGGCCAAGGTCACAAGATTTCACCGTTGATACTGCTGAACTGTGGCCGATGTTGTTAGCATTTCTGTGAAGTCTCCCTAGGCGAAAGGGTTTAGTTCCAAAATGTCAAAATGAAAGAAGGCGCACTTATACAGAAAGAAAAGCAGAAGAAAAAAAAAACACCAACGAAATAGTCCCTGATTCCTGAAAGCTGGTATCTCCAAGATCAGTCCTAAGCGGAGAGGAGCACCTGCATATGGGCCCACGCGATATCAGGAAACCACATCAGACTGAGTCCCTGGCTGTGGAGTCACAGAGAAGCCCAGATCATCAACATCTGAACGCGGTTGGGGAATGTGAGGTTTCTGTGACGTGTCAAACTGTGGTAGATTCTAGAATGTCATGAAAGAACACCACTAATTGGGATTGACATAGCAGACAATTTAGTTTGATAAGAGAAGTTAAAAAGTGAGACAATAAAGAAGAGTAATGGAATCTTTTTTGTCTGTTTATCGCCCACTTTTATCACCCCAATGACAACGTTTAAAGGGGACCTATTATGCCCCTTTATACAGATGTAAAATAACTTCAAATATGTCCATGTAGTGTGTATGTGAAGTTTTAGTGCAAAATACACCACAAAGAAATTTGTATAACTCTTTGAAACTGTCAATTTCAGGCTTTGATCCAAATGGGGTATATGCACACAGACTTAATTTCAGTCATCCAGCCCCAGGGCTTCTGCTGAATTGTCATCCCATAAAAAAAATAAAAATAAAAAAAATAAAAAAATAAAAAAAATCGCAGCATTTAAGATCTGATTTCTTAAAAAACGAAACAAAACATTGATCTTCACTGTCTGACTGAGATACAATATAAAGTGGGTATCTGACCAAACAAGAAGAACTGCATTAAAATATCTTTTCCATGCCATGGCTTTAAAATATGGAAATTAATTTTACCCCAGTATTTTCAAGAGAGTTTCTGCGCTAGACTGCTGCTAATGACTTTTAAACTAACTAGCCTGGGTTGAAACGGTTTTTCGTCCCTTTTTACGCTTTAACAACCAAATGGACGCTTAAGTCTATTTAACTCATTAGATTTGAATTACATTACAACATCGGTGCTGTAAAAGGAACCTTATGACATTGAAAACTAGTCACAGACATCTCAAGTCTCCCGGAAGTTCTGGGAGTCTTCCGCAAATGCATAGAGACTTCCACATGCCCGCAAATGAGTGTTAATCTCCCGGAAATCACGCATCTCCCACCTGGTCCTTAAATACATGGTACACCTCTTTCCACCGCATCCCTCCCAGCTCTTCAGGTACGTCGCGCACACGTCACCATTCAGATACGTCGCTCACCACCATTACCCCCCCCCTCCCCCCCCTCCACTGTGCTTCAGGCACTCGTAACCTCTGGCAACCTCCCGCAAATCAACTCTGTCTCACCCGGAAATGACATTTCGCAACTTGGGATGTCTGTAGTCACATAAACCTTTCACCAGAAGTCCATTATTGGCAGAAAAACACTAGCTGTGTACATAGCCCATTGTGTCCTTTTTGGTGACTGTCGCTTTAAATTCAAATGAGATTGTGAAACTGTAATGGCGCACGGCTGCTTCTCACTCAGGGCTGTCTATGCTAATTTAGGAGAGACTGTCTCTAATGGCCGGGGCTTTCCCCCTCTGATGACATACAAAGGCAGAATGTTAATCAGAGTGTTTCTGCCGACTGTTTTTATCAAGTGTGATTATAAAAAATTTAATTAATAATTTGAAAGATATTTATACACACACTGTTGCCATAAACCCAGGCTTGAAGGGAGCGAAAATGAAGACAGAACTTTCACTCTTGGGTGAACTAAAATAGTTGAACTGTTTGAACTACAGTATCATTTCACACAAAAACCATTCACATTGTTGTGTAAAAAAATCTTGTGACACCATGCCTTTATAAATAAGAGTGCATAAGAATAGTTTGCAGAGTATAAAAACGCAACATAACTGAGATAATCATCTTTAATTATTCATCATAGCAAAAACCAATGCCTTGCATTAGAATGATTCCACAGAAAATCAATATTTGACTTATAAAGATGAAGGCGCTCTGGCTATTACATTAAATGTTAAATCTTAAAATTCTATTCTATTCTTCAAATAAGGCAATGACTTATACAGGTGAATTTGGAATTATTAGCCCTCCTGAATTATTAGGCCCACTTTATATTTTTTCCCCAATTTCTGTCTAAAGGAAAGAAGATTTATTCAACATATTTTTAAACATAATAGTTTTAATAACTCATTGCTAACAACTGATTTCTTCTATCTTCGCCACGATGACAGTAAATAATATTTTATTAGATATTTTTCAAGATCATAGTTTTCAGCTTAAAGTGCTTTTTAAAAGCTTAACTGGGTTAATTAGTCAAATCATTGTATATCGCTGTAGACAATCAGGAAAAAAATGCTCAAGGGAGTTAATAATATTGACCTTAAAAGGGGTTTAAAAAATGAAAACTTTTTTTTATTCTAGCTGAAATAATACAAATAAGACTTTTTCCAGAAGAAAAATTATTATAGGAAATACTGTGAAAAATACTTTGCTCGGTTAAACATCATTTAGGAACTATTTAAAAAAGAAAACAAAACTCATAGGAGGGCTAATAAGTTTGACTTCAACTGTATATCTAAAAAGAATTCCTTTTAGGAGCTCTGCCTTATGGCAGCAGAGGTCTGTCAAGAGTTTGCCAAGAATATAATCTTGCTCTACAGTTATTGTATAATAACTTGTAGGAAGTGCATTTGTTATGAAGCCTAGATCTATTACACGGGTGAAAGAAACGACTCATTACTTGCCAAACCGCCATTCACTTCCTGTTTAAGATAAGATTATTTGATGTTGCATTCAATTTAGCTGGAAAATACCCAGCACCTGAAATAAAACTCACGCTGGACAGCCCTGATCTGTCCATCTGAAGAACATTCTCCTATGAGAAACTCTCTCTCTCACACACACACACACCAAGCTTAACAAAGTGCACAATGTACAGTGTTGTCAGTGTTTTGATGAACTACTTTATCAGGAATGCAATGTTTCCATAACACTCTTTCCAGGTGCAGCTACAATGTCGCCTGTAAATGCAGGCAATGTTGTGTACAGGTGTTTTTAACACCTTATGAGGAGCCATGCTGGCCTATAATCAGCCTGACTTGCCTTGCACGCTCTGTGACCTTAATCTGACGTCTATGGGTTAAAAAACAGGCCTGGGTCAAAGCAAAAAACATTGCAACAGTTTGGTCCCACTTTATATTAGTGGCCTTAACTAATAAGTACTTACACAGGAATTAATAGTTTGTTACAATGTACTTCTTGTGTAAATACATGTATTAACTGTGTACTTATGCTTGATTAAATACCTGTATGTATTTACATCTGTAATTAACTTTTGTAATTACAATTGTCCTCAGCTGGGACAATCCCTTACACCTTAACTCACCCTTAAACCTACCCATACCACCAAACCTGTTCATAACCCAACCTCTATCCCAACTCAAAAGCACCACAAGTGTTCTCAAATACATCATTAACACAGTAAGTACATTGTATTTATTTTTTGATGGAAGTACATAGTAGTTAAGGACACTTAATATAAAGTGGGACCCAGTTTTAAACACCCAGTGAGCATTCAAGGACCTTATTTGAAGATCTCACATGTAGTAACCCTAGAAAATTTGATAAAAACTATTAACAAAATACATTCTTCCACATTCATCCACAACCTGCACTCTGTCCATAACCCCGTGTGATGAGTTTCGTTAGCTCGGCCTTTTCCTTGCTTCACTTCTCATCTCCGTTTTCGTTGATCTTGAATCTCTCCAAGAACTCGGCGTGCTTCTGTCTTAAGATCTCCTGCTGCTTCTTAATGCCGTTCGCTCTGAGGGAAAGCAGAAAGTAGCATGATTAAATTAAGTATTTACAGTCCTTGAAGAAATTAGGAGCTGTATTTTATGCCATCGCATTCAAAAGTCCTTGGCTCTCTCAAAATGCAGTTTGGGATTTAATGAAAAGTCGATCATCATTTATTGTATATCAAATGTAAATTAATTAAATAGGCTGCATTATAGTTCAATATTTTATGCCCTTCACTCGCCAACTTCCCTCTGTCTCGTTCCCTTGGATGTACAATACTGTGCAAAGGTCTTAGGGTCCCAGTTATATTTTAGTTTATGCGTTTAGTAGGGGAATAATGACATTATATATTACTGCTAATTCTCTTAATTAAAATACAACCAGAAAAACAGGTTCTAGTTGGATTTTTTGGGGGTCTAATTTGATTTGATCTGCATTTTCGTCGGAGTTGTTGTCAATATTGCCTGAATTGAGTAAATTTGGAATGCTGAAAAGTGCAAACAGGTTTTAATTTTTATGTGTAATTCCTACTAGAAAGCACCTAACTAGCGATAGTTTTATTTTTCAGCACGAAAAAGGTCCCAAGCACACTGCTAATGTGATGAAATCATATTTGGAGAGAAAAACAGCTCATGAAACAAAGAATGAAAGGAAATGGCCTCCACAAAGTCCAGATCTGAATATACAGTAAGTGCAGGCAAATATTACAGGCCATATGAGATTCACCTGGAGAGCAAAAGAAAGATAGAACATGTTAAATCTAAGTAAGAACTCTTTATAATGCTAAAAGATGCTTGATATTAAAAAGCACAATTGAAAAAAAAATACTCTGTTGCTTTTTCATACTAGTCTTTTGATTCCAAAAGTAATTTTGATCTGATTATTGTGTACATCGGGGGCTCCGGTTTACACCACAGTCCAAAACGTGGTATAGGTGAATTGGGTAGGCTAAATTGTCCGTAGTGTATGTGTGAATGAGGGTGTGTGGATATTTTCCAGTGATGAATTGCAGCTGGAAGGGCATCCGCTGCGTAAAACACATGCTGGATAAGTTGGCGGTTCATTGCGCTGTGACGACCTCAGATTAATAAAGGGACTAAGCCGAAATTGAATGAATGAATTGTGTACATATTTCCCATATTTTTGGTTTGTATATTAAAGGTATAGTTCACCCGAAAGTAATGACCCTGCACTTGCTTCATATCTTTTCCAAAGCTGGTGGGGGCCTAAGACTTTTGCACAGCACTGTACATCCTTGATTACATCAGACAAGTGTCCACTACTGGTGGATCATATAAATGGGTTAAAATTGAATGCCCACTGACCACTTGGTAACTACATTGTTGTGACGTCACAATCGCATTGCATTCTGGGACATATAGGACACAGCCCTGCACTCCAACACCGGTTACTCACTGAAGTACCTGAATGGGAGACCGACTGGAAAAACTAGGTTGCTGTTGTAAGTGGTGTTAGTGAGGCCAGCAGGGGGCGCTCAACATGGTCTGTGTGGGTCCTAATGCTCTGGTAAAAGTGAAGGGGAGCGTCAGTGAGCGCCGTCTTTCGATTGAGACGTTAAAGGGAGGTCCAGACTCTCTGTGGTCATTAAAAATCCCATGGCACTTCTCGTGAGAGTAAACCCTGGTGTCCTGGCCAAATTCCTTCCATCGAGGCTTACCCATCATGGCCTCCCAATCATATTCATCCACCAAACTGAGCTATATAAATATGCATTACATTACATAGGTGCTGGAGTAAACATATGAAGCCGACTTGCTCCAAAATCAAAGCGATTGAGGATATGTGCATGTAAGCTTCCATCGTTGACTTGAAGTGGAATGCACTTGACGTTGGGGATTCCCCCAATGGAACAAAGACAGGGAAATTTGCGAGTGCGTGTCTAAAGGTGAAGCGTAATAGTTTCTTAGGGCGTACTCACACTATGTACAGTTGAGTCCTCCCATCTCCCCCGACGGCCCGCACTCACATTACATTCGGGCCTGTGCACGCTGACGTCATCAATGAGGCGCTGATCAGAAGCGCTCTCGCTCAGCACAGTGGAGATTTCTCTAGTCATATCATTTGAGTCGTTTGATATGCAGTGACGCACAGTCAAATATTTCGCCAAACAGATCAGCCACTTTTGACACTCATAAAGCCCTCGTGCTGCAGGAATTAGGAGGTCTGCTGAAGGTGTGCAGCTTTCATGCAGTGAGGGGTTTCGTCTTTAATAAACTAAGACAGTTTGCGTTCATTAAACAGCAAGAATGATTAATAAACACATATGAAACGGTCCCTTTAAAGTCACGTCTTGCTTTCAGTTTTGGGCTTTGGCGCTATTTGCACTCACACACAAGCGTGTCACGCCAAAGCCCAAGTGAACCAATTCAGAGCACTCACACTTCTCAAACGATCCAGGAAATGAGCCTGGGCAGGGTTCGGATAGCATAGTGTGAGTAGGCCCTTACAGACATCACTAGTCTCTAGTCTAAATGGGTTTCTTAGCCATAACGACTGGTTTTCTGAGTGTGCTAATTTTTATATATATATATATATATATATATATATATATATATATATATATATATATATATATATATAAAACTAAAACATTGTTTATTTAAACTATAATTAATTTGTCTGGCCTCAACAACGTCACAGCAAACAACATTACAGTATTATTCAAGTAACGGGCCTCCTTTTAAAGTTTAAAGGTCCTGTGAAGTGCTCTGAAATGTACGTTTGTTATTTGATGTTTGACGTAATCTCAACCGAAACATGAAGAGAGGGTTGGACACTGTAGCTCCTCCCCGTTTTGAAAAAAACAGAGTCTCGAAGGGGGTGGGCATGTCAGATACTTTAGAGCAGTGTTTCTCAACTGGTGGGTCGCGACAAGATTATCAGTGGGTCGCAAAGTGTGTAGTCAAAAGAAACAACTAATGTTTAATTTTTAACTTCTTTGCTTATACCAGACTTTATTTTGAAATGTGCGAGTGACAACTGTACCATTTGACATGTGAAATTTCATTTAATTACAGCAACAAAATTGTCAAATCGCAAGTACGACCCTAATTATGCAAAGTATGGATTTACATATATTGACGACAAAAAAGGCTTAAAATCTCAGTGTGTCATTTGTAGTGGTGTGCTCTCACAAAAGCACATTTAGAAACCAAAACTTTTGTCGTTTTTACTTTGTAAATAATTTTTTATAATTTGAGACATTTTGTTAAAAGACAGCAATAAAATATTGTTTTTTTGTAAGTCTTGGTGATTTGCATATGATTTATCTGTCACTACTTGTGTATGTTAACAAATAAATACAAATTAATTATAATTCCTAAAATTATATCATAGTTCCTCAAAATTTTGATGACCATGTAAAAATGTGGGTCCCATGGCCAAACCAGTTGAGAACCACTGCTTTAGAGCATTTGATTGGTCAAGATTTCATTAGAAACTGAAGTATGTGATGACGTGAATATATTGTTGATCCACTTAGGCGGAAGTGACGGACTACACACTTTACGGGTCCTATCATACACTTGGCGCAATACTTGTTTGGTAGTTTCATCATGGTGCAAGAGTCGTTTTGAGGCGTTGCGCTACGCTGTTTAAATAGCAAATGCATTAGCGCTCATTTGTGCGCCCATAGGTGTTCTGGTCTAAAAAGGAAGGCGTTCTGAGGCGGACCGCTGGCGCGTTGCTATTTTGAGAAACTATAATAGATTTTTCATTACACCAAAACAAACCCGGTCTAAACTCCTGCGCAGAGTTGCGCCTCGCTTACGCACTGCTTAATACGCACAAGAGAGCAATAGGCAAATATCTTTACATATGAAAAAATTTAAATATTAAGGATATATATAGGATATAATAAGAATATATATAGGACATAAATATAAAGGATTAAAATATTACAAAACAGATTATTTTCTTGCCTACATAAATATGAAAAATCACTGCTTTTATGTCTTCTTCATCTCGGGAGGCTTTTTCAGTTCATTCATAACAATTTGCTTTTGTATAATGTTATTATTATTAGCAGTATTATTTATTATATCCATATTTATATTAGTTTTATTAAAAACATATAATAAACATGGTTTTAGACCATATGGGGCACAGCATGTGTTTTAGGATATAACTCAGGGTTTTGAACACACTTCGTTAATATTATTCATCTATTCGTTTGCGGAAATTAGAACTGAATTTAGAAATAGTTTTGAAACGAATATTTGCGCTTAACAAACGCAATTAATTATTTATAGACTAATTGATGTCTGTGCATAAAGGTTTCCCTATCCAAGAGCGAAAGTGAAAGTGATCCATTATCTCTCATTCTCAAGCAGTAGATGCTCTGTTTAACAGTTTTCTGTTAAAAAAACTGTTAACTGTTAACTGTTTGCTAGTGAAATGCTCATTTTTTCCACTTAGACTTACTTTGCGTCCTGTAAATAGCAAATGCGCTTATGGCGCGACGCAGCTGGCTCTTAAAGGGAATGGGAGATGAGACTCTAATTGGTTTATTCTCAAAACACACCTATAACTCATTAAGAAAATAAACTCAACCCTTTTAGACTATGTGCCATGGCGCAAAGCACATTTTCCCATCCGTAAATTAGCAAAAATGCGTTCTGACGCCCTGAAAGCGTTTGCGCCGTGCGTTTTGCGCCCTGCGCATGGACCGTCAAAATAGAGCCCTACATGTTTATATCAGTTTTATATCTTATGAACACAAATTTTGTTTTGGAGCACACTAGCTTATAGACATCTTAAAAACAAACAAAACTGATACTAATAGCTAAAAAAACTTTCTTTTAATTTCATGGGACCTTTAAAGGAGTACACTTTTAATACAAATAAAAATAATAAACTTATCAGTTTATCTCCTGTTATCAATTTGCATGGATTTAGCTTTACCCAATTCATCTTTGCCAACAAACCTTACGATCAAGTCAGAAACATGATTTACAGAAGCAATCAAGCATTTCCATGTCTCACAACAGCTCTCCTTTACATTACAACAAAGTCTCACATCACGATTTCAAGCGCTACATCTTTTGTTTTCAAACCCTCTGATGTAACGCCTCAGGCTACACACTTCCCAGAGGCTAAACTTTAAAGCACTTCCCACCTGGCTCTTTCTTTCGATTCATTGTAGATCTTGGTGATGACTCTGTCCTTCTCATCCATGAAATTATTATGGACCTCTTCCAGTTTCCTGCATGACAGACCAGCCCAGAGGTCAAAGGTGAACAGATTTACTGCCAACATACATATTTGCAGAGGTGAACAGACATCCACAAGGTGTCCGCGCAACTTTTAAAAGGCCACACGGGCACTGACTGGGGCAATAAAACATTTGATCATTTTTCAAAACATTTCAAGTTCACTCTCTGCTACGCGTCAGCCGAGCAGCGTCTGTTTATGTAAGATGCTTAATCTCAGTCGCCTGAATTCAAGGTGTAAAAACATGTAGCTGATACTGGAAAGCATAACTAAACATCAGGGATTATGGGAAACCAGTGTACACACTCTGCTGGGGTTTGTCTGACTGTGGGACAGACGAAATATCATTATCATGGACTCATCAGAAAAACAATGCATGAACAAAAGAAAACATTTTGCTCTGGGTTTCATGCAAAACATTCACTTATCAGCATGGCAACATCCAGAACAAATATTAGGATGGACTGCTGCTGTACATGTTGGATTTTTCTGAGCTAGGACTTACCTGAAGCCAAAGTAATGTGCAGAGACGCTGAGGATCATGGCGAGAAAGCAGTAGCCCACCAATCGCATGTTTCTTTTCTTTTTCTTTTCCCTTTCCTCTGGGGTGTTCTCCTGAGGCTGGGCCTGTCTGAACTGCTCCCAGTAACGCATGCTCTCATTAGCCTCCCAGCTGAGAAACACAGACACAAAATAGGTATTACAGCCATTGAGTTTATAATGTAAGCATGGGGTATCCCAAAAGCCTAATTAAGTCACAATAAACAGGTATCTTATATCAACTATCTTAAAGGAACGATGTAAATAGGCTAATTATACAAATGCCCTAGTGTTTGCATTTGAGTGAAATTGCTGGGGATTATTTTCAGTTGCTGCGTAATATCATTGTGCCTGCTGCAGCAAAGTTCTTTATATATTACGATGGAATGAGAGTACAGTTACTAGCCATATCAGCCTTGAAAATAGCAACTTTTCATTTTCCATCAATGGAGTCCACTACAGAAGAGTCAAGCAGCTTTAAATGGGAAAAAATTATTGAAACTCTTTTATTCATTTTTTATTTTGAACGAGGTGCTAATACCGATTCAATGACTAATGCTAAGCTAAGCTAAAAGTGCTCCCGCCAGACATGCAGATTGGCTGAATGGATTCAAAAATGGTAAAACTCACTGTTTAACTTTATGTGACTTGTAAAATGAGCGTATTTTCAAAATATACAGTTCAAGTCAGAATTATTAGCCCCTTTGAACTTTTTGTTTCTTTTTTTAATATTTCCCACATGATGTTTAACAGAGCAAGGACGTTTTCACAGTATGTCTGATAATATTTTTTCTTCTGGAGAAAGTCTTGTTTCTTTTATTTCGGCTGGAATAAAAGCAGTTATTAATTTTATAAAAAACATTTTAAGGTCCAAGTAATTAGCCCCTTTAAGCTATATTTTTTTTCGATAGTCTACAGAACAAACCATCGTTATACAATAACTTGCCTAATTACCTTAACCTGCCTAGTAACCCTAATTAACTTAGTTAAGTCCTCATATGTCACTTTAAGCTGCATAGAAGTGTCTTGGAAAAATCTAGTCAAATATTATTTACTGTCATCATGGCAAAGATAAAATAAATCAGTTATTAGAGAGGAGTTATTAAAACTATTATGTTTGGAAATGTGTTGAAGAAATCTGTTCTCTATTAAACAGAAATTGGGGGAAAAACAGGAGGACTAATAATACAGGCTAATAATTCTGACTTCAACTGTAACTGCTCGTATTGTGCACTACCAATCAGTGTTTATTTTTTGTGGACTGAAATAACTGTTTTACATTTAAGATTATAATACTTTTATTGTTGAATTGCATCTTAAAGGCGGCGACGCGGTAGGTTCGAGCCTTGGCTGGGTCAGTTGGCGTTTCTGTGTGGAGTTTGCATGTTCTCCCCGAGATTGCGTGGGTTTCCTCCAGGTCCAAAGACATATGGTACAGCTGACTGGGGTAGGCTAAATTGTCCGTAGTGTATGAGTGTGAATAAGTATGTATGGATGTTCCTTAGGGATGGGTTGCAGCTGGAAGGGCATCCGCTGCGTAAAACATATGCTGGAAAAGTTGGCAGTTCATTCTGCTGTGGCGACCTCAGATTAATAAAGGAACTAAGCCGAAAGAAAATGAATGAATCTTAATGGGACAGAAAATTGTAATTTTACTTTTAATTTATTGACTTACACCCTCAATTGAATTTCAAACCTTTACGAGTTATGAGTTTCTATAAAGCTGAAAACCCGTAACCTATGCCAGAATATACATTTTTGGGTGACTATCCCTTTAAAATACGTCTATTGTAAAAAAAAAAAAAAATACTCCTAATAATATACAAATAGCGTTTATCTTCATTGTCTGACACTAATTTTCATATAGACCTATTTATTTGATATCAAATTATAAATAATATTTGTTTTTCTCCATGACTTTATCAATAAACAGGGGTGTCACACCATAGGACAACAAAACTTAATTTTATAGTGATTACAAGTAAATGAAATATGTGAAAATTTATGAGACAAAAACTTTAAAGGTGCTCATGGGCTTCCGTTACATGATCTTGAATGGGGTCCTTCAAATAAATGAATTTTCCTGCGGAATTTCATGATTTAAAATAAGCATATAGTGTCACAACGGATGACATGCTTTTCAATGACAAAAAAATCAAGTTGCTATATTTTTTTAAATTATTTAGATAAAAATAATTTATTTATTTTCATTTTATTTACGAGAGTTTTAATTTAGTGAACAATGCTTGAGACAAAAAATGAAAAACACAGGAGCTTTTTATAACAGGAAGACAAATACATACTGAATCAATACTAGTCAATACTAATTATATTCATGTTTGTCATGTATGACAGAGAAAATGCAACATCATGCCAACAACCCATTTACACAGAAGAACAATGGAAAAGTAGCGCATTGGAATGGAAACATGCGTTCTGGGTGAATGGCCCCTTAGGCTGATATATGTCAAGCTTGTACTGCTTGACAACACTAACTGGTCTGTAGCTATGGAGCCCCATACGTAAGAGTGTATGATGCATTGTGTGGGACATTCCTCTCATAACCACCATTAAAATTTTTGTGAGAACTTCTGAGGGTCCAGACCAGATAGAATAGCCTTTATTGTTCTCCTGCATCAATGAGTCTAGGGCACCCTGTCACTGATTAGTGGTTTGTCCCACTGTTAGTAAAACATGGATATTTTGACCCATTTGTCCTGCCATAAAAATTAGGTTCTTTTCAAAGCTGTTCTGATCTTTATTTCGGTCCAGCATGGTTTACTTGCTTACCATCTAATCTACTCGGACCTAAATATTTGGCTTTTTTTAGAAGATAATAAGTATTTTCTTCACTGGTCATAATGTTTTGGCTCATCCGTGTACATGGCGATATTAAAGGGTTAGTTCACCCAAAAATAAAAATTCTGTTTTTTATTACTCACCCTCATGTCGTCTCAATCCTCTGAGACCAAATTATTATTTAAATGTTATGAGTTGCTTCAAAACACATCTAGATAAGTGTGAAAGATGTGAAATTAGACTAAATTCGCCAAAATATCGCAGAACAAAGCCGTTTTTACAGGTTTTTTGGTGCGCAAAATTGTTCTTGAAGCTTCAAATGATTACAGTTGAACAACTGAAGTTACATGGAATGTTTGACAATAGTTTTGGTTTGATCACAATAACAATAAGTCATAAACAGAATGCTATATATATATATATATATATATATATATATATATATATATATATATATATATATATATATATATATATATATATATATACAGTATGGACAAATGACAGTCTATAGAAATCTCCAGTAACACACAAAAAAGATTTGTCGCCAGTCACTTTTTAAAAAAATTTGTCACTAAGGGGGTCTGAAAAGTTGCTAAATCTTTTCGCGTAATCTTTTCGCGTAAGTCCCCAGATGTTGGTAATATCTATGGTAAATAAAATGGATATTTTCTGTCTTTTAGTCAATATATTATATAAGAGACTTGCTTTGTTTACCAAATAAAGTGAATCTAATTGGATTTGCATTTTAAACATTAAATAAAAGTTAAAAAGATATTATTTTTTTATTTCACATATTAAGGTTATAGTTATGGTACTCCCAAAATAATTAAGCAGAAATCTGCAGATTTTTACCAAAATTCTCAGCAGAAACGTCCGCAGACTCCGCCTGGCCCTATTTATTACACTGGAATGACATGAGGTTGAGTAAATCATAAGAGAATAAACATTATTTTGCATGAACTAACCCTTTAAATTCAAGCTTGTTGATTATAAAAAAAATATTGTTTCTCACCTGGGATTGTTGGAGGAGCTGGAGGAGGTTCTGAAGGCCTGACCTCCAGCATACTGGTACCTCAGCCTGAGGTCATAATCCTGTCTGGACCCTTCTTTGCTCAGCACCCTGTACGCTTCATTCAGCTGCACAAACTGTGTGTGCAGACCAGGATTGGATGGGTCACTGTCTGGGTGCAACTGAAGGAGAAAACAGAACTTATCTTTCTTCCCAAATCAAAGCAATCACATTACACTATATAGATCCAGTTCTCAGTGAATATAGCCAATAATTGTTTGGTGCATTTAAACAAAATCATTTTATTAAGCAGTTATATCAATTCAATAGAGTTTGGTCACGTACCATCTTTAGGAAAAGAAAGATAATGCATTTAAATTTAAACAAGTTATTAAAAAGACTACAAAATGTAATCTATATTTAGTATTTAAAATGTTTAATATTTTACAGTATTTTTCTTGTTTCAATTATATTTACACATGTAAAATAAAATATAATAATACACAGATACATCTGAGGTATCAGGAGTATGGTCTAATATATATATATATATATATATATACAATTAAGTAAATTTTTTAAGTATAGAAATACACACACACACATATTTACCTGTCACCACACCTTCTTCCATTCACACTTGAAAATTATATCATTTTATCAAAATTAGCTCAGGTTTATTCAAAAAATATTAAATATTTACAAAAAATATCTCAGCAGTGGAACAGTGACAGTTAAGGGGTCTGAATATGACCTTTTGACCTTTCTTTCTCACTTGTGTTCAATGTCTGTCATATCACTCATAAACCATTTATCTGTTTCTGACTCGGAAACAAAGCACCCACATCACTTGCACCCTCATCTCCTGTCACACACATGCGCACACAAATATGTAGTGGTTCTATCTCGCCGTCACTCTGCTTCCTTTAAACAAAAACAGATCTTTCTCAATTTTCACTCCATTTTTCTCATGGACATACACAGATTTGTTACATTCCTTCTTACTGACATTCTTATTTTATTGCTTCAGTTACTGACAAGTAAAATCTTAATTGGATGGAATTAGAATCAATAATAAATGCCATATCACTGAGGATTAACGGAAACCAACAAGTCTGCCACAACTGAACAGCGCCCTCTAGGGGAAAGGATGATAAATTATCATTTATAATCATTTTTTCACTAAATACAGAATTGACAAAATACAGGATCAATTATGTCTCTGAGAATAAATTCTGAGGATATATATATTATTGCGATTTAATAAATAACAGTATGCAAGTCTCAAATTAATTTAAAATGTTTTGCTCAGATGCATAATGCTCCCCTTACACCAGGGATGTCAAAAAGATTTTAGCTCCAACTTGCTTCAACACACCTGCAAGGATGTTTCTATCTATGAATGCCTAGTAAGAGCTTGATTAGCTAGCCTAGGTGTGTCTCATTGGGGTTGGAACTAAACTTTGCAGGACGCCAGCCCTCCAGGACCGAGTCTGGACATCCCTGCCTTACACCATCAAAGCAATGCTTAATAATTATGAAGACAGCTATATTAGCATTCACACTAGTGTATGAGAACATTCTGGTTATTACAAGTGTGCGGCAGTTTTGTCGCATGTCACTTTTAAGGGTACTATTTTACCCTTTTTTCAAGATTTAAGTCTTTTGTGTCTCCAGAATGTGTCTGCAAAGTTTCAGCTCAAAATACTCATCAGATTATGTATTATACCTTTCTGAATCTGGGAAATTTGAGAAGTGAGGACATTGTAGCGGTTTTTGTTGCCTGTGCCTTTAATGCAAATGAGCTGGTCCTTCCCGCTCACAGTTCCCATGTGTGAGTCAGAGCCATAGAGATCTCTCTGTATTGCTCTTATGTGTATAGCCTTCACGTAGATAAACAGCACAGTGACAGACAATAATAAAGCTGATCTCCTTTACTACAGTAAGAACTTTCCCAATGGTTATTTAATATATTTGTTGTTTAGTAAATTCAAGACTTTCTGCGACAATGAGAGACACAATGACGTTATATGCGCACACACACACACAGATCGCGTGTTTAACTTTGCATTGTTTTTGCACAGAAAATGTGACAGAATACACATTTATATCCACTGCTCTATGGATATCCGTTAACTTAATGTACAGAATAAACCTGATTTAACGTCCACAAACCGGGATCGAAGTGTCTTCTTTTGCAATTGTACTGAAATGTGGCTATAGTGATGAATTACAGTGATTTTACTGTCTTTATTACAAACATGCACATTTTTAAAAAGTTTCAAAGTTGTAAAACTTATTATTGACATGCAGATGATCACATATTTTAATTCCAGTTGCTTTGCACACATCCTGTCTAGTGTATATGATTATACGTATTACTATGGAGACATGTTAATATGCGTCTGTCAATCAATCTGGTGGGCGGGGAAACCGCACTCCTATGTCACGTTGTGGTGGGCCTCAAAATTTAAGAGATTTGGATCCTATTTTAACGTCAGGAAATAAAAAAAGAGACTTATTGTGTTTCTATGACTCCAAAATGACAGTTCAGTCCAAACATCTTACAAAAGTTAACTTCCATCATAGGTGCCCTTTAAATGTGCAATAGTGTCAATAGTGTTGGACCGAGTCCCAAAATACTTGGAGCCAAACAGCAGTAAGGGGCGTTTCTAGTAACAATAGCAGATCAATCAAAAAGGTGCAAGGTCATATTTGTTTGTGAGTGCTTTCTTTTGAGGGCGCTTTCAAATATCAACATTGTTTGGCAACATTCGCTTAGTGCACCTTTAAATGCTCTTGCTCAATTTAAGTGGACTCTGATTGGCTCAATGTTGTTATTGTTCGTTATTCCAAAAGTATCAATCCTCTGTGTCGGTAAAGGTAGTGTGGCTTCCCCTTTTCTCACAGAGTTATTAGAATGACTATTAAAACAAAGTTATTGTTCTTGTCAATGGTGCGAATTGTTCATTAATATTCATAAATTGCTATCAAACCCACTCAGTCTATAATAAGGTGACATCGAGACTAGACTCTTTAAGCAATATGAAAATACTGCATTGCATTAATGTACCTTTTTAGACTTGTCGAAAAATGCAAACTTAATTTGTTCCAGCGTAGCATCCGGTTTCACCCCGAGAAGTTCATAGTAATTGGTTTGTGACCTGTAAACAGAACAAAAAACAATTAAGATAAATCATTTACCAGCACTTGTATTCATAGAGCCAAAGCAGAACAACTGTACACTAATAATTACAAATAACTTAACCAACAAACTTTTATTTCGCACACTATAGCCCCTTTCACACAAAAGCCCCTTTCACACAGTGATACCGGTAAATATCTAGAAAATTTCCGGAACGACTTTACCGGTATATTCAAAAAAGCGCTGTTCACACAAGCGAGGACGTTACGGAAATTTTCCGGAAAAGAGCATTCACACATCCATTCCAAAATACCGGTAAATTCTGACATCATTCACCACAAATGAGCTTTAAACGGCTGCGCTTGTATTTGTAAACATTTGACTAAATTACAAACTCTGTGGATGATCAATATTGTGAACAACTTTCGCAGGATCACTTTCTCATGTCGAGATGTTCATAATATGTGCGTGTGCAGGCGCTCACAGGCTGTTTCACAGGCACACGCAAAGCTTGAAGGTAAACAAACAACGGCTTATCATAAGCATCTCATCGATGATTATTTACACAGTTGGCATTAAGAAGAACATATTAACGTGATCTGACTAACATCTAGCAGCTAAATGTGTCTGGAAAAATATTCAAAGGTTTTTATTCTCACAAACCGCGCGGACGTAAATGCGTCTGACTGTTGTGATTGGCTAAAGCAGACGTCTCACGTCAGCATGTTCTAGACGTGCACGCACTTATTACGGTAATCTTCCTTCTGCATTCACACAGCGCAGCATTCCGGCAAATTGCCGGTAATGTTACAACTTCTCTTCTCTAGAACGTGCTGACGTGAAACGTCTGCTTAAGCCAATCATAACAGTCAGACGCATTTACGTCCGCGCGGTTTGTGAGAATAAAAGCCTTTGAATATTTTTCCAGACACATTTAGCTGCTAGAAGATAGTCAGGTCACGTTTATATGTTCTTCTTAATGCCAACTGTGTAAATAATCATCGATGAGATGCTTATGATAAGCCGTTGTTTGTTTACGTTCGTGTGCCTGTGAAACAGCCTGTGAGCGCCTGCACACGCACATATTATGAACATCTCGACATGCGAAAGTGATCCTGAGAAAATTGTTCACAATATTGATCATCCACAGAGTTTGTAATTTAGTCAAATGTTTACAAATACAAGCGCAGCCGTTTAAAGCTCATTTGTGGTGAATGATGTCAGAATTTACCGGTATTTTGGAATGGATGTGTGAATGCTCTTTTCCGGAAAATTTCCATAACGTCCTCGCCTGTGTGAACAGCGCTTTTTTAAATATACCGGTAAAGTCGTTCCGGAAATTTTCCGGATATTTACCGGTATCATTGTGTGAAAGGGGCTTATGTTAGCCTGATCACTAAAAAAAATATATTTTTCTTCATATATTCTAAACTAAATGTTGTGCTTGTATTGTTCATGTATTGCTATGATGCTTCGGTAAAATGTTTTTGGATGCGTTTGGTGGTTTTTAATTTTATGTGAGTGTTGCTGTGATGTTCTGGGTTCTCAGGTCTCTGTAATATTCTGATTGATAGCTCTGAAAAATGAATGTACATCAATGTAATGGATCAGGATCAATAATCAACACTTTTCACAGTGAAAAATAATCACTGGTTACTTTGTAGGGGTATGTTAGCTCATTAACACAATTCTGTAATTAGCCAATTGAATGGCAGCGACACATCAGAATTTAGGCAAGGTGAAGATGATCTGCTGAAAGCCAGACCAAACATAAAAAATTGAAGAAAGGTCATTTGATTTTTTTGCAAAATGGCTGGTCAGAATATTTGAAAAAAAAAAAAAATAATAATAAATAATAATAAAACTAAATTAAAAACGTTGAAACAACAGGCGGTGATAATGACACTTATATTGGGTTCACACCGAACAGGAATTAAGTATTCGCACAAGTAAATTGCATACAAGTCAACATGAAAACCAAGGTGTATTACCGTCCTGCGGTGCCAACGACGCGGATATTTGCCTCATTGCCTTGGTGTGAACCCAGTCATGGCCAATCAAAAAGGCACGCACATTGACTTCACGAGATGAAAACTCTGGCTGTAGTGTCTAGTTGACCACACTGTACCTGGGGTTTTGGAAAATCTTCACCCTGGTCAGTTTTCAGAAAATTTCGGTTAAAGTCACCCTATATTCCATTTTCATGTCAACAAACAGTGAAATTGTATAGGAGATGTGGTCAGTAGATGACCAGCTAAAACCAGCTTGACCAGCCTAGCCAGGCTGGGAGACCAATGAAAACCACCTATGTCCATCTGATACCAGGCTGGTCAAGCTGGTCAATTCCTGCCTGACCAGCTAAGATCAGGAAATGTCCAAAACCCATCTAAAACCAGACTGGTCAACCAGCTTAGGCTAGTTTAAGCTGTTTATTTCAGCAGGAAAAACGAGACAACAGATAATTGGGAAAACGTTGTCCAGCCAGATTCGTTTTGATTTCATGCTACTTGCAGAATGTTAATGCACTATGTGATAAAGATAAAAGCATCTAAGGAGTTCACTGAACTCAAATGGTCTCCACAGTCAGCAGATCTCAATTCAATAGAGCACCTTTGGGAACCTTTGGAACAAGACATTTACATCAAGAGAATGAGCAGACGACTAATCTGCACCAACTCCTTGAAACTATCAAAGGTCAAAACGGATCAAAATCTCTGAGGAATGTTTCCAGCACCTTGTTGAATCTATGATGTAGCCCTGAATGTAAAAGTGGACCCAAGTGTACGTAAAGGGTTAGTTCAACCAAAAAAGAAAATGACTGAAATCTAATTAATTACCCTCATGGAATTTCATGGACCTTTTCATCAGCAAAACATAAGTAAGATTTTTTTAGGTGAAACCTGAGAGCTCCCTCATCCTCCATAAACAGCAAGATTCCCAAATCGTCATGAAAAATACCCCCTTGAAGAATCCTAAAACAAAAATAACTGTTCAGCAGTTTCTTCTCTTTATTGTCAATAAAGGGTGCACGCTCACATGTCGAGCTTTGCCGCAATTCTGACGCCTCTTATTACCTCAGATGCGCCTGTGTTTTGTTTCGAACAGAGGAAGTCATGCACGCGTGTCTGAGGGTTGTACATCACTGCACAGCACTCAGAAGCATGCGCCCTATACTGACACAAAAAAGAAACTGAAAAATAAAGTTGTTTTTTCTTTTATGTGCGCAAAAATGTGTTCTTGCAGCTTGATAATATTCCAATACCACCCCTGAAGGCATATGATCTGTTCTAAGATTTTCTTGGTATTTTAATGAGTTGGGTCTCAAGGTTTGTTCTTCACTTCTGCCAATTGGTGAAGTTTTGGTTCCTTACCACTGTTTCCTCTGACTTGCTTGTTAGGGGCTGTCGGAGCTGCTCTTCTGTTGCTCGTCCTTGACTTTTGTATTAAACTGAACTGAACTAAAGTGAGGCGGCACGATTTCTCAGTGGTTAGCACTGTCACCTCACAGCAAGAAGGTTGCTGGTTCAAGTCCAGTTGGCATTAAAGGAGTTTGCATGTTCTCTCAGTGCTCACGTAGGTTTCCTCCAGGTGCTCCGGTTTCCCCCATAGTCCAAAGACATGCACTACAAGTGAATTGAATAAACTAATTCCACTTGTTAAGTCGTGACGTATTGGTGACGTATGGAATACTGTTTTCAGGTCCAAGCTGCCACTCATTTTAATTGAGAAAATATTTGTTCATGGACACTTTTTAGTCCTATCACACAATAAAGTGAATTTTATATAACATCATGGTGTACACAACAGTCTCTAGACTTGCTGCATCACAAATACCAAAATTTTAACAATTTATAAAACAAATTTATCACTTTTTGGCCATCGGATATTAGGCATGGTCATATAAATTGCTATCGAGCTTTTCGAAAGTATTACAGTGCTTTGTAAACATTTATTATTACCATTTGATGAGTTTCCCCATAAAATTTGATAGAGCGATTGGACCCAGAAGCCGCTTCGCCTGATGTCACGCTTAACAAGTAGTTTAGCCATAGTTTGTGAGTGTTGGTGTGAATATGAGAGTGTATGGGTGTTTTTCAGTACTGCGTTGCGGCTGGAAAATTAACAGGACATTTTTGGGTGAACTATTCTTTATGGACCGATAAATGTTTACAGGGCGCAGTGGGTAGCACGTTCGCCTCACAGCAAGAAGGTCGCTGGTTCGATCCTCGGCTCAGTTGGCGTTTCTGTGTGGAGTTTGCATGTTCTCCCTGCGTTCGCGTGGGTTTCCTCCGGGTGCTCCGGTTTCCCCCACAGTCCAAAGACATGCGGTACAGGTGAATTGGATAGGCTAAATTGTCCGTAGTTTATGAGAGTGTGTGTGTGGATGTTTCCCAGAGATGGATTGCGGCTGGAAGGGCATCCGCTGCGTAAAAACTTGCTGGATAAGTTGGCGGTTCATTCCGCTGTGGCGACCATAGATTAATAAAGGGACTAAGCCGACAAGAAAATGAATGAATGAATGAATGTTTACACTTAAACTTCCTGTTAATGTTGGGTTGAAAGGCGAGCAAAATAATGCAACCAGTAAATGTGCCAATATTACATACTTAGTGCATTAATAAACCTCGTGCTTACTGTTTATAGTTGTTAGAAAATAAATGAAAATCATCATAGAAAAAAGGGAAAAGGTTATTAGTGTACCCATCAAAAATCAAAAGTAAGTTTAAAAATATTGTTTTTTTAGTGAAAACACAAATAAATGAATTAAACTGAACTTCAACAATGACATTTATTCTAAACCAAACTGAATAGGATTTAATTTAACTAGAACTACAACAGCATTCGACCACTACTCTCCTGCATGGCTGATTTGCTGGAATGTTCCACTACCTGAAATATTGTTACAGCTTTTTATCCCTCCATCTTTTTTCATTACTCGTCTTCATCTATGGCTTGTGAAATGGGTCCATTGGGTTAAGAGGGCTCTCAGATTTCATCAAAAATATATTCATTTGTATTCCAAAAATAAATGAATGCCTCAGAGGTTTGGGATGAAATAAGGGTGAGTGATTAATAATATAATTTTCATTTTGAGTGAGCTAACCCTTTAATTATAGAGGCTAGTGAGTGTTTTTGTATGTGTTTTACATTTTTGGCAGCTACATTTCTAATTACAGCTGAAATTAAAACGTTGTGCATTTTTAAGAAATTAATACAATTATGTCCTGCATACCTGTGTGCAGCAGAGAGAGAAAACAGCCGCTGAGAACTTCTACAGTACCAAAAACAAGTCTGACAGAGCCGAATATGAGCCTCCCACTGCATGATGATCTCAGAAATATAAACTACATAAATGGGAATCTGAAAAACAGGGGAGAGGTATGTTAGTGCACACGAGAAACCATCACACACAATTGAAAACTACACATTTATTTTACGGGCATTTATTTAGCCATTTCAGCATGTTCGATGTACCTTGTTTTGTTGTAGTTTCAGCATACAATAGTACTTCCCGGGTGAAGCTCTACTATGTTGTGTTTAAGTTTAAGCAACCTGAATGCTTGTTGTGTTTGGATTAAACTTCATCACTCTGAATGCAAGCTGTGATTGGACGATGCTTGATCGTGTTTAATGTATTGTGTTCAGTGTTGTGTTAGCTTGAAGCTTTATCATGCTGAATGCACATTTTGTTTGAGTAAGGTTTTATCATGATGAATGCGTGTTTTGTTTGAATGAAGCTTTACATGTTGAATGCATGTTGTGTTTTGGTGTGACTTTACATACCGCTCAGCAGGATCCCATTGAAAGGCAGTGGGTCAGCAGCTCTGCGGGAGATCCTGAATGGACACGAGAGATTACACACATACATAACATAGTCTGGGGCTCTTTTTGACATCTAATATTCTTGTATTTGTTCAATTACAATCACATCTTAAACCCTAGCTATTTTATTAGGGTATGTTTTCACATGATAAGTCAAGTTTGGTCTCCAAAAGTAAATTGTTTAGGATTTTAGTGGCATTTTCCAATGAAAATACACGCAAAATCAGTGTAATGCATGTGTTTCCTGTCCAAACATACACAAAAGCAGAACCTGGACGGCAAATCCAATCTATAACCGTTAAATAAAAATATGACAGCTGTCAAAGGCCCTATGAAAAAGTACTATAGTAATCTTTAATAAAATATTAGTGTCCAAATAGATCCATACTATAGTAGTTAAATTAACATGTTGTGGTTATTCTACCGGTAGAAAATATGGTTAAAAACCAACTAACGTTACAGAAATAAAAACTAATTACTGTAGTTTTTTCAAACTATAGAATATACCAGAGTTTACTGTAGTAACAACTAAAGTATAACATTACAGTGCACTAGATATAAGTATGTTGTATTTATTAACAAAGAGTTTCAAATACTTTAATTTAATACACTACTATACAGTAGTATGGTTAAAAACACTATAATACTTACTATAACGTCCTATAGTATTTTATCATGTGGGAATATATTGAGCTAACAATCTATACAGCCTTTCACCCCGCAAAACATAACCACAAATGCGCCCAAAAGTGCTGTCTATGTAGTCACCACACTTTTGAGACACGTCCATTGATCAGCAAACTCAAATTAGCAGGCAACGACAGCAAGGCTGTTGTTAAAATCTAAACTGTATTGACACGATTTTATAACGTATATAAAGAATTCGTAACGCAACTCATACATGTTTTGAGGCATATTAATCAGTTCCTGTGACAGAGATGCACTTTCCACTCGCTAGCTTAGCCGCGATGCTAAAAACAACAACAAAGTCATGGGAAACGTGTAGCTTAGCACACGACTGCTGTTCAAATCAGTGTAATTCTTATTAGTAAGTCATTAATCAGCGGATTAAACATAAATAATGGCGTCACCTTCATTCATGGAGACGCGCAGGTCAGCTGTGGATGTTCTGTTGCTTTCATAACGCTTCACAAGTGCTGTTACATAAATGGACAATGTGTTTCATGACAGCTGCATGTCAGGAACTGTTTGCACCATACCTGTTCTGAATGGGTTATTTACATGAATAACATAATATAGTAATGGATATTTCTGTAATATATTAATATATTATAAAGAGTACTATATACTAAATGTACTAATATTAGAGCAAATAAATAAATACTATATTTTTAACCATAGTAAAGTAATTGAATTAATCTGTTGTTCTATAGTTATTGTAGTAATACAATTATAGTAATACAAGCAATTTACCCAATACTGTACACATTTTTCTAAAACATTGCATATTAATATCAGTAAAAACTAAAGTATGGGCCTAGTACAGTATTTGTTAGTTTATCACTATATAGTTATTACGACAGTATGCTGTTGTAATGTTGCAAATTTAATGTTAGCGCTTTACTATGGTTTAGTTTAAAAATACTTTTTACTTATTAGTATTTTTATGTGAGATCCAACTCCCATACAAAAATTAACCATGGTTTTATTATAGTAGTTATGGTAAAAAAAAAAAAAAAAAAAAAATATATATATATATATATATATATATATATATATATATAGATGTACTACTATTTGTTTAACTATAATTTACGACAAATATCATAGTTTAACTATGGTCACAAAGACAATAAGCTTTTTACACGCAGAAGTCAAAATATGGTTAAAACCAATATTAAAAAAAATCAGAAAAGCATATAGTCAATATATATTTTTGTCTGTCATGAAACTTTATTTGCTTGTCGAGTGATTCTAAAAAGATAAACATATTTTTACTAGCATAATAGTGAGAAATGGTGAGGTAACTTTCAGTATTCATTTAAAATACTAAATACCCTGAATGTTTAACATATGGCAAAATTACATTAGGTTATAGTAACAGGCCACTTTTAATTTTAATCTGTTCCTTAACTAAAATATCTAAGTAACCAATAACATGGCAGCAACTCAATGCATTCAGAGATATTTTGAAGAAGATCTGCTGAAGTTCAAACTAAGCATAAAATGGTGGAAAAGGTGATTTACAGTAAATGACTTTGAACATGGCTGGTTGGAAGGTCTAAGTACTTCAGAAACTGCTGATTTACTGTGATTTTCATAAACAATCATCTCTAGGATTTAATCCAAATAGTGGGTGAAAATACCTTGTTGGTAACAGAGGTCAAAGGAGAATGACCAGGCTGGTTCAGCTGATAGAAAAGCAGCAACTCAAACAGTACAACCAAGGTTTGCATAAGAGCAACTCTGAAAACACAATGCATCAAACCTTGAAGCAGATGAGCTACAGTAGCAACAGCAGAAGAGCAACCAGTGGCAGTGCATACAGCTGAGAACAGAAACTGAGATAATTTACACAGACTAACCAAGATTGGACAATAGAAGACTGGAATATGATTGCCTGGTCTTATGAGTTCCAGTTTCTGCTGCAGATTTCAGATGGAGTCAGAATTTGGCGTAAACAACATGAAAGCATCCACCTTGTCTTGCATGTATGGTTAAAGCATAGGTGTCAAACTCGATTCCTGGAGGGCCGTAGCTCTGCACAGTTTTGCTCCAACCCTGTTAAACACAACTGATCCAAATAATCAAGGTGTTCATAAGAGTCATGAACACCTTCATTAGTTGGATCAACTGTGTTTGAACAGGATTGGAACAAAACTGGGCAGATCTGCGGCCCTCCAGGAATCAAATTTGACACCTATGGGTTAAAGGAACACACATTGTAAGTGCAGAGATATTAAGGAGCACTTGAAGATAGTCTCCCTCTAGGTGAATTCCAATGTGGCCATCTGCATAGTGTGTGCCTGCTGCAGCCATGGTATGGCAAAAAGTTCCTTGATCATTACACCGGAATGAGACTAAAGTTCCTTCCCATATTGACCTAGTATATAGCAACAGTTCTATTTCTGTTAGTCTTAGGACACAATGCAACTACAGAAGAGTCTAGCTTTAAATAGGAAAATTATCAAAATTCTTTTTTTTTTTTTTTTGAGTGAGATGCTAATGGTCTAATCCGATTCTATGATTTATGCTAAGCTAAGCTAAAAGTGCTTCTGCCAGACTCAGCGATTAGTTGAATGTATTCAAAATGGGTAAAACTCAAGTAAAATGAGCCTATTCTCAAAAAAAACAAACAAAAAAGTGGAGTGTTCCTTTGGCTCCTAGGTCTGAAATGTATGTCACAAAGACTTAAAGGGATAGTTCACCCAAAACTGAAAATTACTCATACTTCAGTTGTCACAAACCTATGTGAGTGTCTTTCCTCTGTTGAACCTAAAAAAAGTTATTTTAAAAAATGTTGTAAATGGGTTCCCAATGACTTACGTAGTATTTGTTTATCCTAACATGAAAGTGAATGGTTACCGGTTTTCAACATTCTTCAAAACTTCTTTTGTGTTCAACAGAAGAAAAAACCTATTTGTTTGAAAATGTTTGGAACTACTTGAGGGTGAGTAAATAGTGAGTAAGTTATCATTTTTGGATGAACTATCCCTTTAAGGCAGTTCTAAAGTAAGGTTATATGGCCATGGCATAACCAATAAAGTACAAAAAACAATTAAATGCATTTAAAACCAAGCTGTTCTCTTAATCCATAGGTCAATCAGATCAGCAGGTAGCAGAAAATTCATGCCTCAGATAAGCAAATATATCATTTATTCACAGCTCAGTGCTCACTTATGAAAACCACAATTCATGAATGCTGTGAAAAAAATCTTAATTAAACCAGTAAAATATTTGCAAAGAGAAATCTGTGCAATTCTGTCACTGGAATCCATGTTATGATTACAGGCTCTCCACCTTAAAAAAAGAGCAAAAAAACAAAGAGTGAAAATATTGATAATGACTACAGTTTCTCACATATTATACTTTATTAGCAGGCAAATGCAGAACTGACCTCAGAGAAAGAAGGGAAGTGATGATCGAGAATATAAGCAGCTCTGACACGTTGCTCTCCTTCATTGTTATACTGAATTGCTTCTAGCAGAGGAATGCCATTTAACCTCGTGAACTCTTCAACTCCCTGTTCCAAGAAGGAGTTCAAAGACTTTTAATACAGAGATACATGCTAAATGTGATTCAACAACAAGAATATTAAACTTATTAAGTGCATTTATTTATGAAGCACACGACAAAGTGCTGAAGATAATAATCTGCATATAGAGAAATAATAATACAATAAAGAAATGAAAAACTTATTTTTGGCCCATTTTTTTATCCTCTACCTTACTAACAGTGTTTTATTTGATGAAGGGTTCCTACTTTATATGTTGTTTCTGACCTGTGGGCTGCTGGATACCAGCATGTACAGCACTTCCAGACTGAGGGTGACCACCTCCGGGTCGGCCATCTTGAGTGTGGCACAGAGAGCGCTGAGCAGCCCCGCTTGTGTCAAACCAACACAGTATTCTGGTCCGTGATGGGCGATATTACCTAAAACTCTTAATGCCTTACACACACAAAAATGATTACGTGAGAACTGAAATCTAGGTGTGTATGCTATTAAAATGTACAAGTTGAAACAGGAGAACTGTATCAGCAGGAAGATAAAACTTATATTTTTTTTATAGAAACAGCAGCTAACGGCACTGACAAAATTAACCTAGCCAACTATTAGAAAAAATTAAATATCAGCATATTTATAATTTTCTTTCAACAACAACATAAAACAAAATCATGTTTCAGTTTTTAACAGAAGTCTTAGGACACCCAAGGCAATATTTAATTGAAGGGACAGCTCACCCAAAAAACGAAAATTCACTCGCTATTTAATTACCCTCAAGTTTTAATGATGTTGTTTCGTCTGTTGGACGCAAAAAAATATATTTTAAAAAGAGCTGAACACCAGTAACCATTGACTTCCACAGTAGGAAAAACAAGTACTATGGAAGTCAATGCGTGGGTTTTAGCATTTTTCAAAATATCTTAATTTGTGTGAAAAACTCATCACTTACATTTGAACAACTTCAAGGTTTGAAACAAGTAAAGGGTGAGTAAATGATTGTAATCTATAATTAATTATATACTTCATGAATATGTTCTAAAATGCTATTTATTTTCTCTTTACAACTTTTAATTATTTCTTTGAGAACTTTAATTCTTTATAACTCTTAATTATTCACTTTGTAGCTCTTTATAAATATTTTAAATTAAAATTTGTACTGAAACTTTTATTTAGCCCATACACTTTACTGTAAAATTATATATTTATATATATATATATATATATATATATATATATATATATATATATATATATATATATATATATATATATATATATATATATATAGTTGAAGACAAAATTATTAGCCCTCTTGTGGAATTTTTATTATTTTTCAAATATTTCTGAAGGGATATTTTTAAAGTATTTCCTAATATTTTCCTTTTTTCGCAAGAAAGTGTAATTTCTTTTAGTTTGGCTGCAATAAAAGCAGTTTTTAAATTCATTCATTCATTTTCTTCTCAGCTTAGACCCTTTATTAATCAGGGGTCGCCACGGTGGAATGAACCGCCAACTTATCCAGCATATGTTTTACGCAGTGGATGCCCTTCCAGCCATAACCCAACATTGGGAAACATACATACAGTATGGCTAATTTAGCTTATTCAATTCACTTATACAGCATGTCTTTGGGTAAACTCCACATAGAATAAGAGGGGTCTGGATGCAGACCGGGGGCAGTGCAATCTGAGCTGCATCCAATGCTTTTTAATGGGCTCACCTAACCCCACCCATCACAGTGATATCACTCACTCCATTTGAGTGCATTGTGTCTCACATTGCATCGCTAAGTGATGCAATCTCAGCTTGCATCATAAAGGCTGCATCCAGATACTATTGCACAAAAATTCCAACTGACCCAGCTGGGGCTCGACCTAGCGACCATCTTGCTGTGAGAGGATCGTGCTGCCTACTACACTGCTGTGCTGCAAAATGATTTGTCCAATGGGCAAGGCAGTGGCGCAGTAG